GAGGGAGAGGGAAAAGGGGAGGGAGGCAGAAGGAGGAGGAGAAGAAGAAGGAGAAGGGGAGGAAGAAGGAAGGAGAAGAGAAAAGGAAGAAAGAGGCTAAGGGGCAGGGGGTGGGGGAGGAAGAGAAGAAGGAGGAGGAGGAGGAGAAGGGAGGAAGAAGGAAGGAGAAGAGAAAAGGAAGAAACAGGCTAAGGGGCAGGGCATGGGGGAGGAAGAGAAGAAGGAGGAGGAGGAGGAGGAGAAGGAGAAGGAAGGGGAGGAAGAAGGAAGGAGAAGAGAGAAGGAAGAAAGAGGATAAGGGGCAGGGGATGGGGAGGAAGAGGAGGAAGAGAAGGAGGAGGAGGAGGAGGGGAGGAGGAGGAGGAGGAGAAGGAGAAGAAGAAGAAGAAGGAGAAGAAGAAGGAGAAGGAAGGGGAGGAAGAAGGAAGGAGAAGAGAAAAGGAAGAAAGAGGCTAAGGGGCAGGGGGTGGGGGAGGAAGAGAGGAAGGAGGAGAAGAAGAAGGAGAAGGAAGGGGAGGAAGAAGGAAGGAGAAGAGAAAAGGAAGAAACAGACTAAGGGGCAGGGCGTGGGGGAGGAAGAGAAGAAGGAGGAGGAGGAGGAGGAGGAGGAGGAGAAGGAGAAGGAAGGGGAGGAAGAAGGAAGGAGAAGAGAGAAGGAAGAAAGAGGATAAGGGGCAGGGGATGGGGAGGAGGAGGAGGAAGAGAAGGAGAAAGAGGAGGAGGGGAGGAGGAGGAGATATTGTGGAAATGCAGCATCTAAGAATTTCATTGAGCTGAATATCAAAGGTTGTTCAGACCCTACCAGCATGGTAGTGAAATGAAAGACAGAGCTTTCACACCTATGGCCCAGCTTGTCATTAAATGAGAGCAAAAACACCCAACTCTACTACTCCCAAAGTCTCTTTCCTTTAGAGAAGAAAAAAAGGTCAGTTTTCATTTACTGAATTATTACTAAGTGAATGGGGGAAATGTAGGTGAATTTCTTTCACAGAGCCCAGCACTACGAAAGGCGAGATGCAAATGTGAGGAGGGTAAGCTACATTTGGAGTCTTGAGCCCAGAAATACAACCTATAGTATCCAATGGGGTTGGACAGTGTTCAGATTTGATTCAAAAAGGCCACGAAAGCATGAGGGGGTTGCAAATGTAGCACTTGTGTGCAGGTCTAAAGCAGCCAGATCTTTTCTCAGGATTTTATATATGTGATTCTTTAAAGCAGCTGCATCTTTTCCTGAGATTAGATAGATAGATAGATAGATAGATAGATAGATAGATAGATAGATAGATAGATAGATAGATAGATAGATAGATAGACAGATACTCATAACTCTTAAAAGCAGCTGCATCTTTTCCTGAGATATAGATAGATGAGAGAGAGAGAGAGAGAGAACAACTCTTAAAAGCAGCTGCATCTTTTCCTGAGATATAGGTAATAGATGATAGAAGACAGGCAGACAGACAGCTAGATAGGACTCATGGCTCTTAAAAGCAGCTATTTCTTTTCCCCAGATCATGTGACTGTCTGCAACTTTTTAAAAGCAGACATCTCCCTGGATCAATACTAGAAAAAGAAACGGCTGCTTTGAAGAGTTGCAGAGAGACTTTTTTTTTATTTCCCCCTCCCAAAACATCTTTATAGGGGATCCATCCCTAATTATTGCCCATCCCATCTTCGACCCGCTACTCAGCAAACCGGGTAAAATGGCTGCAAACCCGGCGTCCCTCCGCCCTGCGAATTTCCAACCTCACACCCCTCCCCTTAACATAAATGGATGGCGTCTCCTGGAAGTGGCCACGAGTTTGAATTCAAAGCTCTCGGCATCTTCTCTTAAAGAACAGCCCTGGGCAATATCTTTAATAGCTTCAATTAGTCTCTGTTTATGGATTCCAGGTCTCCTGGTATCTTTGGAGTACATCACCTCTAAACTGGGTGGTCAAGCTAATTAAAACTAATGAGTCCATTAAGGTCACCCTAACGAGAAAGTTTTCTGCCGAAGAGATGACAGTCTGGAGCAGGAGAGTGTTTTTCCAATCAGGAAAGCAAGCAAAAACAGCCAGAGAATTGGGGGGAGGGGGGAAGAGGGCTGGCTTTTATCTCCCCTACATGGAAATGGGAACTTACATGAGGTCAGCAGGCTGAAACCTATGACAAATGGGTGCAGGAATTGGGTATGTCTAGTCTAATGAAGAGAAGGACTAGGGGTGACATGATAGCAGGGTTCCAATATCTCAGGGGCTGTCACAAAGAAGAGGCAGTCAAGCTAGTCTCCAAAGCCCCTGAAAGCAGGACAAGAAACAACGGATGGAAACTAATCAAGGAGAGAAGCAACCTGGAACTAAGGAGAAATTAGTCAGTGGAACAACCTGCCTCCAGGAGTTGTGGGTATTCCATTGCTGGAGGTTTTTAAGTAGGAACTGGACAGCCACTTGTCTGGAATGGTGTAGGATCTCCTGCTTGAGCTAGGGGTTGGACTAGAAGATCTCCAAGGTCCCTTTCAACTCCGTTATTCTCTTAATACCATCATGATCAACCACTAAGGCAGTGGTTCTCAACCTGTGGGTAGGGACCCCATTTGGGGTCAAACAACCATTTCACGGGGGTCGCCAAACAACGCAGTCCGCCATTTTTTCCCCCCTTTTCCTTAGCTGTGCTACTCCCTTTTATTCTATTGGCTTTTGAAAGCCAATAGAATAGACTCTCTTGAATAGAGTCTAATTCTATTGGCTTTCAAAAGCCAATAGGAATTGTCCAGGCTGTCTCTGCCCTGCTGAGCCCGCCAAAAGTCCCATTCTGCAAACGGTGCTGCACCAGTTGAGTAGTCCTCGACTTACGACCGGTTGAGTAGTCCTCGACTTACGACCAGTTGGGGGTCACGGCATTAAAAAGGTTGAGAACCACTGCACTAAGGGAACTAGATATGATTGTCTAACGAATGGGTGCAGGAATTGGGTATGTCTAGTCTAATGAAGAGAAGGACGAGGGGTGATATGATAGCAGTCTTCCAATATCTCAGGGGCTGCCCCAAAGAAGAGGGAGTCAAGCTATTCTCCAAAGCACCTGAAGGCAGGACAAGAAGCAACGGATGGGAACTAATCGAGGAGAGAAGCAACCTGGAATTAAGGAGGAATTTTCTGACAGAACGATTAACCAGTGGAACAACCTGCCTCCAGAAACGGTGAATGCTCCATTACTGGAGGTTTTTAAGAAGAGACTGGATAGCCTCCTGTCTCAAATTGTATAGGGTCTCCTGCTTGAGCTGGGGGCTGTATTAGAAGACCTGTTAGAAGCCCCCTTCCAGCCCTATTGTGATTGAGATTTCTGACTAAGTCAAAATCTGTGAGAAAAATTAACCAGTGGAACTGCTTGCCTCCAGATGTTGAGGCTCCATTGTGGTCATGAGTCAAGGGCTGTCTGTATTGCACGCTCTCTGCAGGGCACTTTCCATCTATAACAGAAAGGAAATAAATGTTTAAATGAAAGCAAAATCATAAAGGTCAATTTATAATGTGCCTCTCTTCAGACAGTAGGTATATTTGCGAATGATATGGCACCACACAGATCAACTCAGCATAAATTGTGCATTGCCGTATTTTAGGCCTGATAGAATCACGACGTGATACATCTTTTAGTGAAATTGCTCCCTGTCCTTTCCTTCTTTCTTTTTTTTATATCTCTATTTTTCTTCCTACATGTTTGCTTCAGGATTTACAGTGAGGCTTAATAGCTGGATGATCGGAAGTGTTTACTTAATCCCCTATCGCCGGCACTTTTCCCTTTGAAACGATATTCCTGGATTTGCCGTAGCATTTTAAATTCCTCTCTGAATTCTGCGTGTGGCTGTTACTCTTTTACCTCACAAGTTAATCGGAGAAAGTGTAGTAAATTGCAAATTCTGTCAACTGGGTTGATATTCTACCATGTATAAGCTGGGTCAGGGGTAGGCAACCTTGGCTCTTTTATGACTCGTGGACTTCAACTCCCAGAATTCCTGAGCCAGCCACGCTGAGGGGAAAGGGAGAGGTTTCCAAGCTGAGCCAGGCTGGCTCAGGAATGCTGGGAGTTGAAGTCCACGAGTCATGAGGGGGCCACAGTTCCCCCATGCTGGCTCAGGAATTCTGGGAGTTGAAGTCTGCAAGTCATGAGGGGGCCATAGTTTCCCCCATGCTGGCTCAGGAATTCTGGGAGTTGAAGTCCCCAAGTCATCAAGGCCATAGTTCCTCCATGCTGGTTCAGGAATTCTGGGAGTTGAAGTCCACGAGTCATGAAGGGGCCATCGTTCCCTCATGCTGACTCAGGAATTCTGGGAGTTGAAGTCTACGAGTCTTAAAAGAGCCAGGGTTACCTACACCTGTCCTAAGTCCTCCTGTTCTAAGTGGTGAGCCTCCTATAGCAGGGGTAGGCAACCTTGGCTCTTTTATGACTCGTGGACTTCAACTCCCAGAATTCCTGAGCCAACATGGCTCAGCTTGGAAACCTCTCCCTTTCCTCTGAGCGTGGCTGGCTCAGGAATTCTGGGAGTTGAAGTCCACAAGTCATAAAAGCACCAAGGTTGCCTACCCCTGCCCTAGGCCTAGGCCGCTTTATGACTCATGAACTTCAACTCCCAGAATTCCTGAGCCAGTATGGCTCAGCATGGAAACCTCTCCCTTTCCCCTCAGCATGGCTGGCTCAGGAATTCTGGGAGTTGAAGTCCACGAGTCATAAAAGAGCCAAGGTTGCCTACCCCTGAGCTGGGTTGACAAGATCCGAAATGAGGAGGTGATAAGCCACCTGGGAAAGCCGCGGGAAATCATCAAAACGATTAAAAAAAACGAAAGTTAGAATATTTCGGACCTGTGATGTGACACCCAGAAAAATACGGCATACTCCATTTAATCCTCCAGGGAAAGATTGAAGGCAAAGTGCCATTGTAACTTCAGTCGTTAAACGGAAGGTTGTAAACTGAGGACTATTTCCATAGCCCCCCCCCAAAAAAAAACCCCACATCTTTGTCTTCACAGCATAAGGAACCCGAAAGACGCTGTCGAATATCAAGTCCCTTTTTCCAAGGCTGTTCTAACTTCGAACGGTCACTAAATGGATTGTTGTAAGTCGAGGACCTACCCGCATTCTGTTTGTCATCTGAATGGTACAGACCTGTAAAAGGGATTCGATTCTGCTGGTTGTGCTGCTCGATCTGAGGCCCTTCCTGGCTTTCCTGTGGAAAAGCAAGATTTATAATTATTAGAATCTGTTATTTCCTGTGCAATTCAATAAGCAAAGGCCCGGGAAAACAATGGGTGAAAGGCAGTTTTAATAAGCACTCGGTGTGCCCGTAATTAAATCTCAGGTTTTTGTTTGGAAAACAAGAATCGCATTTAGTGGCCCTCTGAACATCTGTGTCACATTCTTGCTGGGCAATTAGGAAACGCTCTGTGAAACGATCAACAAATGCAGGTGTGGCGTGCAAAAAGAACTGCCTGTCGGAGAGGTACAATTTTGTCACATCCAGGTGCTGAAAGCTGGTTAAAAGCGTAAGAGCTGATGGATCTCAATAAACTTCGGCTCTGGGTCCCCTCCAACAAAATGAAATTCAACGGAGGGAAAAGTCAGGTTTTACCATTATGGCAAGAAAAACCAAATGTAGATTAATTAGATTAGATTGAGATAACCTTTATTGTCGTTTTTTTAACTGTGGGCACAATGGAACATGTTAAAAATGTAATGCAGTTGCTTGCTCTCAAAGTGTATTACATAACATCACATTTAAAACATACTATATACAACATATGTATAGGCCTACACCAGTGGTTCTCAACCTTTTTAATGTCGTGACCCCCAACCGGTTATAAGTCGAGGACTACTCAACCGGTCGTAAGTCGAGGACTACTCAACTGGTGCAGCACCGTTTGCAGAATGGGACTTTTGGCGGGCTCAGAAGGGCAGAGACAGCCTGGACAATTCCTATTGGCTTTTGAAGGGCAATAGAATTAGACTCTATTCAAGAGAGTCTATTCTATTGGCTTTCAAAAGCCAATAAAATAAAAGGGAGTAGCACAGCTAAGGAAAAGGGGGGGGGGAAATGGCGGAAAATGCATTGTTTGGCGACCCCCGTGAAATGGTTGTTCGACCCCAAATGGGGTCCCGACCCACAGGTTGAGAACCACTGACCTACACCCTTACAACAAAGCAACAAAGATGATCAGAGGACTGGAGGCTAAAACATATGAAGAACGGTTACAGGAATTGGATCTGTCTAATTTAATGAAAAAGAAGGACTAAGGGAGACATGATAGCAGCCTTCTAGTATCTCAGAGGCTGCCCCAAAGAAGAGGGGGTCAACCTATTCTCCAAACAATAGGCAGGACAAGAAGCAACGGATGGAAACTAAACAAGGAGAGAAGCAACCTGGAATTAAGGAGAAACTTCCTAACAGTGAGGACAATTAGTCAATGGAACTACTTGCCTCCAGACGTTGTGGGTGCTCCATCCCTGGAGAATTTTAAGAAAAGATCTGACAGCGTTTTGTCTCGAATGGTATAGGGTTTCCTGCTTGAGCGGGGGGTGGGGGGGTGGACTAGAAGACCTCCAAGATCCCTTCCCATTCTGGGAGTTGACGTCCACACATCTTAAAATGGCTAAGGTTGGGAAATATTGATGTAGTTGTGTTGGCACCAATCTAGAACTCAGAAGACCGTGAGGTTTAGTCTGGCCTTAGGCACCCATCGACCTGGGGAACTTAATAATAATAAAGTTGAAAGGGACCTTGGAGGTCATCTAGTCCAACCCCCTGCTCAGGCAGGAAACCCTGTACCATTTCAGACAAATGGCTGTCCAGTCTCTTCTTAAAAACCTCCAGTGTTGGAACATTCACAGCTTCTGGAGACAGGTTGTTCCACTGGTTAATTGTCCTCACTGTCAGAAAGTTTCTCCTTAGTTCCAGGTTGCTTCTCTCCTTAGTTAGTTCCCATCCGTTGCTTCTTGTCCTGCCTTCAGGCGCTTTGGAGAATAGATTGACTGCCTCTTCTTTGGGGCAGCCCCTGAGATACTGGAACACTGCTATCATGTCCCCCCTCGTCCTTCTCTTCAGTAAACTAGACATACCCAATTCCAGCAACCGTTCCTTGTATGTTTTAGCCTCCAGTCCCCTAATCATCTTTGTTGCTCTTCTCTGTACTCTTTCTAGAGTCTCAACATCTTTTTTTAAATCGTGGTGACCAATGCCTTACCAAGGCATTGTAAAGTGTTTGGGCCAGTCACTGTCTCTCAGCCCTAGAAAAGTGGCAAGGGCAAATCACTTCTGAAAAATCTTGCCAAGAACACTACAAGGACTATTCCAGGCAGTTGACTTAAAGGCGGGTGCACACACACACACACACAGAGACACACACAGACCCACACACACACACACTTCAATTTAGGCCTCTTTTAAAGAGGTCTGCATGTCCTCATTCCAGGAAAGTAATTTACTTGTTGTTTTACCTGGCCCTTCCTCCGTTTCCATGGATTCGTTGGTTGCTGGCAATTCTGCTAAGAGAATTGTGTTTTTGGAATATCAATGAGCTGAGATCTACAGTTTCCCCTTCTCAAGCTGAAGGCAAGGACAGTGCTTTTCCTATCATCATCCCTTGCAATCTGCAAGAACAAAAAAGAGACACCGTTTGAACAGAGCAGATGTTGGAAACCACCATGGAAAAAGCAAAGGCATCTATGCGTTCAGCCAGAGGTTAATAAAATCAGCAAACCGCAGAGATCTATAACAGGGAAGGAAGCTGCAGAAGAAGGAGCTTGAATGGTGGGCTGTGGGCTTTGAATCGTAGTGTTCTGGAGCTGGAAGGAAGCTTAGAGGTCATCCAAACCAACTTCTGATTCAGTGGTGGACGTTCTAGACTAGGGGAAGAGGAGGAGGATGTCTGTGGGATCCTTGGTCCTCTCTGAGCTTGGTGGTTTTCTTTCAGATCTTTCATGACCCAAACTAGGTAACATCATCAGTGCTAGAAGGGAGTGGAAAGGAGAAGGAGAGAAGGAGGCAAAAAAAGACTGTGGGGTCCTTGGTGCTCTCTGAGCTTGGTAGTTTTCTTGCAGACGTTTCTTGACCCAACTAGGTAACATCATCAGGGCTAGAAGGGAGGTGGTGGTGGTGGTGGTAGTGGTGGTGGAGGAGGAGGGGGAGGAACAGTAGGAGGAGGAGGAGGAGGAAGAAGAAGAAGAAGAAGAAGAAGAAGAAGAAGAAGAAGAAGAAGAAGAAGAAGAGGAAGAGGAAGAGGAAGAGGAAGAGGAAGAGGAAGAAGAAGAAGAAGAAGAAGAAAGAGGAAGAGTAAGAAGAAGAGGAAGAAGAAGAAGAAGAAGAAGAAGAAGAAGAAGAAGAAGAAGAAGAAGAAGAAGAAGAAGAAGAAGAAGAAGAAGAAGAAGAAGAGGATTGTGGGGGGTCCTTGGTGCTCTCTGAGCTTGGTGGTTTTCTTGCAGATGTTTCATGACCCAAATTAGGTAACATCATCAGTGCTAGAAGGGAGTGGGGTTTCTGGAGAGGAGGAGGAGGATTGTGGAGTTCTTGGTGCTGAGCTCGCTGGTTTTCCTGTAGACATTTCATGATCCAACTAGGTAACATCATCAGGGCTACAAGGGAGTGTGTTGAGGAGGAGGAGAAGGAGCAGGAGCAGGAGGAGGATTGTGGGGTCCTGGGTGCTCTCTGAGCTTGCTTGTTTTCTTGCAGACGTTTCATGACCCAACTAAGGAACATCATCAGTGCTAGAAGGGAAGTGGGGGAGGAGGAGGAGCAAGAAAAGGACTGTGGGGTCCTTGGTGTTCTCTGAGCTTGGTGATTTTCTTGCAGACGTTTCATGACCCAAACCAGGTAACATCATCAATGCTAGTCAAGATCACATGAAGTGTTAGAATCAAGATCACGTGAAGTATTAATACCACTCTTCAATGCCTTGGTAAAGCCATACTTGGAATACTGCATCCAGTTTTGGTCACCACGATGTAAAAAAGATGTTGAGACTCTAGAAAGAGTGCAGAGAAGAGCAACAAAGATGATCAGGGGACTGGAGGCTGAAACATACAAGGAACGGCTGCTGGAATTGAGTATGTCTAGTTTAACGAAGAGAAGGATGAGGGGGGACATGATAGCAATGTTCCAATATTTGAGGGGCCATCACAGAGAAGAACAGAACAAAATAACAGAGCTGGAAGGACAAGAAGCAATGGATGGCAAAAAAAAAAAAAAAATCAAGGAGTAAATCAACCTAGAACTAAGGAAAAATTCCCTAACAGTGAGAACAATTAACCAGTGGAACAACCTGCCTCCAGATGTTGTGGGTGCTCCATCACTGAAGGTTTTTAAGAAGAGACTGGACAACCATTTGTCTGAGATGGTAGAAGGTTTTCTGTTTGAGCAGGACTAGAAGATCTCCAAGGTCCCTTCCAATGATGATGACGATGATTAAAAAAAAATGATTAAAAATTTACAGCAGGGAGCCTCAAAAGCTAGTACCCACTTCCTGAAGCGACAGCTATCTACAATATGTTTTCTTTTTATTTCCTAAACCTTCTGCCTCTTCCTTGTTCACAACAGAAGGAGGATAGATCAGTATGCTTTTCTTTTCTTTTTTCTAAAGAAGCCACTTAAGAGAGAGAGAGAGAGACGCAAACGAGGGAAATGTGGATTTCCAGCCTGGCTTTGCTGCAAAGAAGGTCTTGTCTTTTCAAGGCCAAAAGATCACCATTTTTATGCAGAAGTTCCAAGGCTTTTCTGAAATTGCCCGCTGCAGACGCGGAATACAATGTGGTAAGAAAATAACCCTCCAGCGCATCTTCAAGCCAGAGCAGACCTCATAGGTCCGTGGTGGCGAACCTATGGCACGTGTGCCACAGGTGGCACGCAGAGCCCTCTCTGTGGGCAGGCGCGCTGTCGCCCCAGTCCTAGGCCTTCAGCTGGGTTTTATAAAACCTTTTTGCTTTAGGCCTCCGTCGCCATGTGCCCCAAAAAAATCAACTTCAACTTCTCGCGGGGGAAAAAAAAAGATGGAATGGATTGATTGAACTTTTTAGTCCCACCCTGTCTGCCGTTACCACCGCAGCCATGCCCACCCAATGGGCCACGCCCACC